ATAAGAAAGAAAGAAAAAAAAAGAGGCAACCAGGGGCTGGTTGGGGTAAGCAGGAAGGGGTTTTTGTTTAATGAGTACATAGTTTTTGTTATAGATGATGAAAAAGTTTTAAGTGCAGATCCTAGTGATGGTTACACAATGTTGTGAATGTATTTAATGTCACTGAATTATACATTTACAAAATGGTTAAAATCATAAATATTTTGTTATATATATTTTACCACAATCAAAAAAATAAAAATCAACTACTCGGTAACATCAAGCCTTCCAATTTTACAAATTTTCTTGTAATAAACGAGTATTTCAGAACTAGTTTATTCAGTAAACAGACTTCTTAACACAAATCAGACAAATAGGAATACCTCAGTGTACTGGAATTTAAAAAAAAATTCTGACTCCTATTCTTCACAACCTTCCTTACCCACAGATATGTATATATGCATGTACTTCAACATCAAGGAAATACTTAAAAAGAAAGAAAAGGCTTTTAAGACATTTTATTGGGATGAGTACACATAATTCAATAATATAGTCTTCTTGACACAGGTAATGATTCACTTCAACATTGTTAATAAAATAGGCTTTCAAGCTAAACTGCCTGGATTAGAATTCTGGTTCTGCTACTTTTATAGCTATTACTTAAACAACTTGAGCTCCAGAGTTTCCTTATCTATAAAATTAGAATATTTATTTCAGATGCTATCAAAAATAAAATTGAGTTAATACAAGAAGTATGCTCAGAACAATGTTTTCAATAGTAAGCATTCAATAAGTATTAGCTATTATTTGTATTATTACTCAACCAATGCATGAAATCACACTAACACAATAGATCTGGTTCACTAGAAAATGAAAATAGATTTTCTGAAAATTAAGGAAGATCCTGAATAATCATTTTGTTTTCAAGCTGTTAGTATGGCAACAAGAAACCAGATTAAATATTTTCCCTTTTAAAAATTCCAAAAGTCTCAACATTAATTTAGGAACACATGTCCCTTAAATGTTTATTCTGCTCTCTAATACAAAGTTTCCTCTACTTTTCATACTAATCTATTGTGGCCAGAAATACTTTGTTCTCTCTGTTTCTAAGGTTTCATGTATGTTTGAAGATGTGTGTTTGAGGAGAAGAGGAGGCAACATACCTCTCTCCTCTCCTGTTAACTATCTGACAGTAAATGTTCCTTGAATAAACACTGTCTACCACTTCTCTTCATTGCTAAGGAGTACTATCTACTTATGCTATGAAACAACTATAGAGTTGACTACAAATTTTATCCTCCAAAATAGGGCACTTGTGAGTGAATAATAATCATTCAAGGATAAAAGGTATAAAGTAGGATTATCCTAGGCAAATCTATTTATGAAAGAACTGGTTAACACCCAAAACTATGGGCTGAATATATCATTACTTATTTGTCCCATCATATATAGGACTATAGTTTTAAAAACTTATGCATTTGAAAGCTAACAAAGGCAAAATTAAAATGTTTAAATTCTCAAAAGAATTTTTTTTCCTTTTAGTATTTCTCAGCAAAGCACAAAGAAAACCTAGGGTTTCTACCAGAAAAATAGAGCTTACCTATAAAGACAGCGGTTCTCAACCTGTGGGTCGCGACCCCTTTGGGGGTCGAGCGACCCTTTCACAGGGGTCGCCTAAGACCATCGGAAAACACATATATAATTACATATTGTTTTTGTGATTAATCAGAACGCTTTAATTATGTTCAATTTGTAACAATGAAATTGGGGGTCACCACAACATGAGGAATTGTGTTAAAGGGTAGCGGCATTAGGAAGATTGAGAACAACTGTATTAAGGCAATGCTTACAAAGGACTCCTGAGCCACAGAGCTTTCTTTCATTAGCTGCATATGATTATGATTGTTTTTTGTTTTGCTTTGTTTTTAGAGAAACACTGATGACAGAGAAACATTAACTGGCTGTACATCCTCTACTGGGGATCCAGCCCACAACCTGGACATGTGTCCTAACCAGTAATTTAATTGGTTACTTCTTGGTATATGGGGCGATGTTCAACCACTGAGCCATACCTGTCAGGCTAGTTGCATATGGTTCTTAAGGTGATATAAATAGCGGCAAAGTCAATAGAACATACTGTAATCATGTGGTTCTTTGGTAAATGATGTCAAAATGTGTCTTTAATCAAAACCTACATTCAGCTGATATGTATCTATGCAGCTATAGTGTTATTTAAAGCCAGTGGCCATTCTGATTGGTGACTATGTGACTGTACCAACTATAAATCTGAAAATCCCCATGTTACAGTTGCATAAATAAGTTTCTAACTCAATTAGCTAATATATTTGGAAAATTTCAAATACACTGAAGACATCTGTGATTAGCACTGTGGGGAAACATACTCTCTTCAACAGCTCACAAAAATGAGAGGTATTTCAGTTAGCCTCCACTTACAAATATTTGGTTTTTTGTATGAATTGGTATCTTCTCCCACATCAATCTAGCCAATATACCACGGTTAGGTATTGCTTAAACCAGTATCAGAATTTATCCATATTTGTATTTCTTAAATGTGATAGGACATTATGGAAGTATAATCTAAAAATAAACATCAAAGGACATCTGGACAGGTATTTAAAATATGAAAAGCATGTACTTGAAAATTAACATGAAATACATAGTTTATGTAACAAAAATAATCTATTACAGAATTCCACAGATAATGTGAACATTAAAAGATTTATCCTTTAAAAAGATTATATTGCAAAAAATGGGGGTAAGGTATCATTTTGAAAAAGCCTACTTTCAGATAATGCCAGTGCCTTTCAGCCATATCTCCCAGAGCTACTAAATATTCTTATACCAATGAAATATTTATTTTTTCATCATTAATACATATCACCACTCTCTCACCTTAACAGCTAGTATTGAACTATATAAAATGGGATATACTATTTAGCTAGTAAATAAGAAAATCCTTCTAAAGTTAGTACCTGGTAAAGTTTAAATACAATTATAAAGCAATCTAGCATAAGGACTATTATATATATTAATCATCTTTTAAAAAGTCTCATTAAATCAAATGTTCAATATTAACTATTTGTACATTTTATCTTTTTCAGAGGACAAAGAAATCATTTATGAATCATTAAGTCATTACCTTTTTATTTAGTTCTCACCATATTAAAGACACAAGAATCGTAGGTCCAATCACAATTTCTGGCTTATGTTTCAGAACAAAAATTCTTGTTGGAACAAGAATTAACTGAACTTTAGAAATAATGTTGCTTGGAGTAAGGACCTCTATCCTTATCCAGTTTTCTCCTTTATTTTAAGAAAACAAGATTCTCTATAGCTGGAGTAATTTTCCATAATTTTTACTCCTTTTGAAAGTAGAGATGACAAGGAAACCAAAAGTGTTCTGGCTTTAGGGCTGACGTGATAACTAACATTTAAAGGCCTAGGATTACCTTATTCTGATCATAACTGGCACCTTAAAACAAAAACAGCTCTCTTGTAAATGTGAAGTAAGTGAGTGGTTGTGGCTCTTAAATATAAACTGACATATACTATAATCTTAACCTGTATTTTACATTCTGATTAGGATCAATAGCTAATATTTACCATTTATTATGGACATTCTCCCTAGGAAAAAACTATTATCTAAATCTATTTTGTTAGTTTCATTAAAAATTGGTTAAGGGGGGTAAATATTAGAAGTTTATTGGGAATAAAATAAAGGCCACTGGATAAAGGCCACTGGATGAATGGTTAAAAGTATTAAAATTTGGGGATTATTTATAATATTTTCTATTGACACTAATCTAGTTTTTAATAATCAAAAGTGACTACAAGTATAATAAAAATTTACATTAATTTTCTGTCTCATTTAAAAGAAGTAAATACCAGGTACCTGGCATCCAGAAGTAGTCTCCTAAAAGGAAACCAGTATAAAGACAATAACCAGACAGATTTTCATTTCAAAAATCTCTTCATGGGATAGAATTTTTTTAACCTATTCTAATTCTAAAAGCATCTTTAAAAAAATTTTAAAAACAAGTTAACATTGTTTATAATTCAATATGGGCTTATACATATATAATTAGCAACTTTAGTTTGGGAAATATGATATTTTTGGATCATTTTAGCATCTGTACATTCTCAATTTTTGTATACTGTCTCTGCTATGCTGAATTAGCAAGACACATATGTATCTGTTTCAGTATAAATCTACTGAAGATGATATAATTTCATAATCTATTACCTTTAATGTAATGCAATCAATGGAGATGTTATCCTATATAATAGAATGGTAATATGCTAATTGAATGTCACACCCTCACAAGATGGCAACGCCCAGTACTCTCAGCCCTGCGGGGGGGGGGGTCAGGGGGTGGTGAGGGCATCTGCTGCTGGAGTCCCCCAGTCCCCTCAGCCACGCCAGCAGTAAATTTTCATGCGACCATTACCTTTTTAAAAAATCCCTACCCAAGGATATGATTATTTTTGTTAGATCACCTGTTCTCGGGGAGCAGGCCTAAGCCAGCAAATGGGCAAACCCCAAGGGTCCCAGACTGTGAGAGGACGCAGGCTGGGCTGTGGGACCCCTCCCACCCCTGTGTGCATGAATTTTCATGCACCGGGCCTCTAGTTTTCAAATATATACATACTAGAGGCCTGTTGCACAAAAAGATTCATGCAATAGGCCTTCCCTCCCCCTGGCTGTCAGCACCGGTTTTCCTCCGGCACCCAGGACCCAGGCCTTTGCTTCGGCTGGAGCCGCCTTCAAGCCTTCGCTCCACCGTTTCGCACCTACGTATGCAAATTAACCGCCATCTTTGTTGGCAGTTAATCTGCATATCTCGCTGATTAGCCCATGGGAGTTGTAGCGAAGGTACAGTCAATTACCATGTTTGCTATTATTAGATAGGATTTTAATTGTTAAATTAAAAAAAAAAAACATTCATGGGTTATGTACTTGTTATTTTTTTTCAAAACCAAATGTCTTATGTACTATTTACCTGGTGGTGGAATCAGAGGTGGAGCAGTGCTGACAGTTGGAGGAGGTGGAAGAAATGGAGGAGGTGGAAGATGGGTGGGAGGAGCTCCTGGAGGGAAAAATGGAGGTGGTTTGCTAAAATTGTTGTCTACTTCAGTAGCAGATCTTTCAGAAAGGACCTAAAATTAGAGCATAGTTTATTTTTTTAAATAAATAAACATTCTCATCTGCAATTAAACTCAAGTTAATTTCATTTAATATAAGAATCAAAGTAAAAAGCTTTATTCATATACACATATTTTGAGGAGGAGAGACTAATTTTCTGTGTAATGTGTGTGTATATACACAGATGTCAGGTCAGTATACACTCACACACACGTACTTAAAACCCAGGAAAAACAACTGAATCATTACAAAAAGACTTCTGAATATAACATAATTGATAAAATATTCTAAACAAGAAACAATTAAGCACTTTATAAATATAATGTAATAAAGATTATCCTTGTTACCCAACCAAAGTTAAAGTATTCAAATTAAGGGCCTTAGCCAGTTTGGCTCAGTGGATAGAGCATCTGCCTGCGAACTGAAGGGTCCCAGGTTCGATTCTGGCCAAGAGCACATGCCTGGGTTGCAGGCTTTATCCCCAGTAGGGGAGGTGTAGGAGGCAGCCGATCAGTGAATCTCTCTCATCACTGATGTTTCTATCTCTCTATCCCTCTCCCTTCTTTGATCAATAAAGATGTACAAAAAAAAAAAAATTAAGGCAACGTAAAAAGGAAGGAACTCCTACCATTTGCAACAGCATGGATGGAGCTGCAGAGCATTATGCTAAGTGAAATAAGTCAGTCAGAGAAAGACAAATATCACATGCTTTCACTCATTTGTGGATTATAATGAACAACATAAACCAATGAACAAAAACAGATGTAGAGACAGAGAAGCATCGATGAGATGCTCAAAACTCAGAGGGAAGGTAGGGGAGGGTGGGGGTGAGGGGGAGAGATCAACCAAAGGACTTATATGCATGTATGCATATAAGCATAAGCGATGGATGTGGACAACAGGGGGTGAGGGTGAGGGCAGGATTGGGGGTGTGAGAGGACACTGGTGGGATAAGGATACATTTGTAATATCTTAATCAATAAAGGGAAATTATAAATAAAATAAAATAGACAAAAAAAAAAAGAAAGAAAGTAACGTGGCATGAGGAATTTGGGGGGTAGGGGGGGAGAATGTGTATGGAAGAGATTAACCAAAGAACTTATATGCATAACCCATGGACACAGACAATATTTCGGTAGGTGGCGAAGGGGGTAAGGAGAGGAAGGGGGATGAAATAGGTCAGTGGGGGAGAAAAGGGGACATCTGTAATACTTTCAACAATGAAGATTAAAAAAAAAAAAATAAAGACAGTCACATGGCAGCAGAACCAGATATTCATTGTAACAGGTCCTGTCATCACCAGGTTGCAAAGTAAGAGACTGTAAAGTATGCATCAACAAGATGCAAGAGGCAGCCAAATATATAAATAACTTATTGATATGACCCTTTTAACTTTAAGAACAAGGGTTAATACTTGAAAAGTAAAAGTGATAACAAAATACTGATCTGTGTGAACAGGTAAGGGACAGGCAGGAAATCTACAGGAGATTTACACCAAGAAATTTGGATTTTTGACAAGCTCCCGAGGAAATTGTAACACACAAACACGTTTAGGAAACAGCAGAAACAGGCAGCATAATGTTGTATATTTAGCTTATTCTTCTAAAATCCTTACTAGCTAAAGCATATCGCTTAAACATATAATCCTTCCTTTCGTTAACATTTTCTCCATTTATGCACAGTAATTTTTGTAAGGCATATACTGATGTTATTTTTTTAATGAAGAGAAGAGATTTATTTTAGGAAATTATAGCATTTTGATGATGGGGGAAAGCGAGGACTATCTTCATTTTAGAAATCTCTTTATGCCCCTTTAAAGATGCTAAAAAGAACATTTTACATGATTAATTTATGAAAGATAATAAAAATCAAAACACTTGGTACATTTTTAAAGTACACACAAAAAAATAACTAAAACAAATAGAAACAGACTCATAGATAGAGAACAGACTGACAGCAGTCAGAGGGAGGAGGTTGAAGGGGCTGGGTGAAAAAGGTGAAGGGATTAAGAAAAAAACACCTTATAAACACAGACAACAGTATGGTGATTACCAGAGAGGAAGGGGTGGGGAGAGGAAGAAGAGGATAAAGGGGCGACATAAAGGGTGATGAAAGGAGACTTGACATGGGGTGGTGAACACACAATACAATATACAGTGGGGCCTTGACTTACGAGTGTCCCAACTAACGAATTTTTTGAGATACCAGCTGTCTCTCGGCCGATTTTTTGCATTGAGTTAATAGAGTAATTTGAGTTAACAAGCTCCTTAACGAGCTCCTTAACAAGCTCGGTCTCGGAACGAATTCAACCAGTAAGTCAAGGCCCCACTGTACAGGTGATAAATTATAGAATTGTACACCTGAAATCGATATAATTTTATTAACTAATGTCACCCCAATATATTCCATTTAGGAAAAGGAAATAAATAATAAAACAAAAAGTGTGGTCAAGCTAATAGCTGAAAGTTTTAGTTGCTAAAGTTCTAACTTGAATTATCCCAGTTACTCTTCCCCTTTCATTCTTTCATTTGAAAACAAAGGGCTTGGAAACCAAGATGGCGGCATAGGTAAACACCAGAAATTGCTGCCTCCCACAACCACTTCAAAAATACAACTAAAAGACAAAACTGACATCATCCAGAACCACAGGAAGGCTGGCTGAGTGGAAATTCTACAACTAGAAGGAAAGAGAAAAGCACACCGAGACTCAGAGGAGGTGCGGAAGTGGAGTGCAGAGGTACGGGGGCACATGCGGAAAGGGCTGGCAACTGAGGACACGGTTGTCTTTTTCAATCGGGAGGGAGACACAAGCTCCCGACGGCCCTGACTCCAGTTCCAGGCCAGTCTCTGGGGACCCAGACTCATACGGGAAGAAACTGGACTGTCTGGCAGCAGGCGGAACTCGATGGGTGACTTTCTCTCCGAGGTGCTTGCAGCAATTACCGGGACACTGAGACCCGGGGCCTCTTAGGGCAGGACTGAGGATCAGCCATAGCTGTTTGCTCCACCCTGTTGATTCCCTGAGACCCCGTCCCACCCAAGCTCTATCAACAAGTGATTCTAAAAATCAAGTGAATAAATAATCTGATGAACAGAATAAACTGGTGAATAGAATAGAATCAGAGGCATAGAAAGGGAGCGGACTGACAATTCTCGGGGGGAAAGGGGTGCAGGAAGAGACTGGACAAAAATCGTACACCTATGGATGAGGACAGTGGGCGGGGGGGAGGGGGGAGCTAAGGGCAGAGGGTGGGATGGGAACCGGATGGAGGGGAGCTATGGGCGGAAAACAGAGGAACAACTGTAATAATCTGAACTATAACGATTTAATTTTTAAAAAAAATTTTTTTCAGGTGCAAAAGACAAAAAAAAAAAAAAGGATTCATTAGATCCCTTTCAGTTCGCCAAAAAAAAACAAAAACAAAGGGCTTACAAATTTGTTTTCCCTGAGAAAAACCATATTAAATAAATTATGATATATCCACATAATAAAGTTATCATGAAGAGATTTTAAGTTATATCTTTAAGAATATAAGAAAATGAAAATGATACTTTCAAAAGAAAAAAAAAGGATACACAAAAATAGTATCTCAAATCTTGCTTTGTGACAAGGGAAGAGATGTACCAGAATGTTAAGATTGATTTACATGGTAGAATTATTAGTGATTTTATTTTCTTCTTTAGACTTTCCCCAAATTTTCCTCTTTTGGTCCAATGAAGCCATATACTATGTTTGTAACAAATATTTCTTACTAAAATATTTCTTATAAAAAAAACAACCCCAAAGGTTATAAAGAGGAGCTTTTGTAATAAAAGGGTGATTGACTCCATATTTTAAACCTCTTTGTGCACCCAACACATAGCAAAGCACTATGAATATATATTGAATAAATTAAATTAGAACATGCATATAATTTTTCAGCTAAAAATATAATAAAGTACTAAACCTGTATGTTGCTGTTTTCATTTGCCCGTCGCCTTCCTTCAACTCGGCTGATGGTTATTGTCTGACCAATAACATCAATTGATCCAGGTAACCTCCTGTAACATAAAAATTCAATCAATTCACTTTCACCTAATTAAATGGTTAAAAATAACCAAATATCAAGTGAGAAATAAATCTAAAACCCTTTGCAATATACTTTAAAATAAAATCAGCTTACAATACACACTGTAATTCACTTCAGTGAATTAGATTTCCCTAATTTGCTTTGTCATAAACACAAAATCTTATTAATAAACTTATGTCAACACATCCAATGATGATGTCAGACTTAAGTATTTTTATAGGTTTTCTTCTAAATGTACTATTTTTTAATAGTATCCAACTGAATTTATCCTTGTGGAACTGAACCAGGTAGCAAATGCTAAATAAACAAATGGAAATAAAAATTTTGTGCCACTATAATTATAACACGTAACACAGTTCTATTACAAAAACTTTTAGAAATTCCCCAAAAGGGCCTAAAAAGAAATACTTATTTTGATACACAAAGGATATTTTCCTCAGTGACTTATTCCGAGCATTAGAAAGCACAAAAAGGGAAGCAGTTTTACATTTCTGATAACTTGCCTTTAGATAGAAAAACTCATGTCTGCCACACCTCCAATTGTATTTACAATCCATTAAAGTATATGAGTAGACGGAAAATAGTCTACCACAAAATGCTGCAAATTCAACGGGTAAATCTAGTAAGTTAAATTTTTTTAAAAAATGTTAAAAGCCATTTAGTATATTTAAGGACTTCATAGAAGTATATATGCTTCAGATACAGAAGTAACTTGTAGGAATAGGTAATGAAAATTAATACAAATTAGATGAATTTCTCTTCATCTATATTTGTTATAAACAATTCTATCTTTAAAACTTTATAAAAGTAGGCCTTGCTGGTGTGGCTCGGTGGGTAGAACACTGGCCTGCAAACTAAAGGGTTCCGGGTTTGGTGCCAGTCAAGGACACATACCTTAGTTGCAGGCTCCAGCCCCCGGCCCTGGGCTGGGTGCATGCGGAGGCAACCAATGCCCAGGCATTGTTATACATAAACTAGTGGCCCGGTGCACAAAATTCATGCATGGGAGGGTGTCCCTCAGTCCGGCCTGCATCCTCTCCAATCTGGGACCCCTCTAGGTCCCACAAGAATTGGGCCTAAACCAGCAGTCGGACATCCCTCTCGCAATCCGGGACCGCTGGCTCCTAACCACTCGCCTGCCTGCCTGCCTGATCGCTCCTAACCACTCTGCCTGCCGGCCTGATCAACACCAATTCTCTTGCCTTCTGGCCTGATCACCCCTAATGGCTCCCCGCCGGCCTAATCGCCCCCAAATGACCCCCCCCACCACAGGCCTGATCGCCCACAACTGCCCCTCTTGCTGGCCTAATCTCCCCCAACTAACCCCCCCACCGGCCTGATCGCCCCCAACTGCCCTTCCCTGCCGGCATGCTTGCCCCCAACTGACCCCCCTGGGGCCTGCTTGCCCCCAACTGCCCACCCCCGCCAGCCAGCTCACACCCAACTGCCCCCCGCCAGCCTGATCGCCCCCAACTGCCCCCCCTGCTGGCCTGCTTGCCCCAACTGCTCCCCCCACCACTGCCCTGCTCTCCCCCAACTGCCACCCCCCTGCTCTCCTCCAACTGGCCCCCCTTATCAGCCTGCTCGCCCCCAACTACCCTCCCCTGCTGGCCTGATCACCCCTAACCGCCTATGCCTCGGCCCCACCACCATGGCTTTGTCCGAAAGGATGTCTGGAAGGTCTCCTGGCCTAATTAGCATATTACCCTTTTATTAGTATAGAAGATTAATGTACCTTAATCAGAAATGTGAAGGTTACCATTTTGTTTAGAAACATTTTATGAAAGATACATAAGCATGTACTAAAGCAGGGGTCTTCAAACTACGGCCCGCGGGCCACATACAAATACAAATATTCTATTTGTTCCCATTTTGGTTTTTTACTTCAAAATAAGATATGTGCAGTGTGCATAGGAATTTGTTCATAGTTTTCTTTTAAACTATAGTCCGGCCCTCCAACAGTCTGAGGGACAGTGAACTGACCCCCTGTTTAAAAAGTTTGAGGACCCCTGTACTAAAGAAACAGAGTACATAGTAATACAGATGAGTAATTAATTCAATGTTATTCTGATGCTATTGGAAACAAGTATTCAACTGTATTATTCCATAAGTTTTTGATGTAGGACTTTTTATTTCAATACATAAAAGATGTAGTATAGCTTCATAATGAGGATCTTTTATAACTTGGATTTCCACACAGCACAACTTGAACTGAGCTTAAAAATTTGATCAGTAGGGCAGACAGCTAATGTAGCTAACAAGATTATCTTCCTTATACTGAACTCAATCATAGAGTACACAAAGCTGAAAGAGACAAACTAATTACATGATATGTAGTTTCATTAATCTACAGTGTAATATAGGCAGTGAATGTTCTCAAGAGGATCTACCTTTCCTTCTGGCACAGGTGAAAGTGAAAACACCTCTGAAGCTATAATATAATTAAATTAAAATGTCATCCTACATAATAAAGCCTAATATGCACATCGACCAAATGCTGAAAACGACTGAACAACCAGTCACTATGTTGCCCACTGACCACCAGGGGGCAGACACTCAGCGCAGGAGCTGCCCCCAGCCTGCAGGCCCCAGGCAAGCCAAGGCAGGTACCAGCGCCCCCCCACACCCCGATCGCCCCACAGAAGGAGGCAACCATGGCTGGCGAGCGGGCCTGCGCTGCCCCCCAAGTGCCCCACCCTCCAATCACCCCACCAGTCTCGCATTCCACAGAGGCAGGTGCCAGCAGTGGCCCCCCCCACTGAATCACCCCGCCAGTTGCCCCACAGATTGTCCCTTATCGCCAGCCAGGCCTAGGGACTCTACCCATGCATGAATTTAGTGCATCGGGCCTCTAGTATTTTGATAATTCTGATGTACCAGAAAGGGTATTAGAGCTGCTTACAGAGATAAAACAGAAATTTTAAGTGACAAAAATCAGAGCCCAGGGAAGATAACATGTACAGTATATAAGAAAGATTACACAGGGAATCATTTAGGGGTCTGGGATTAATTCACTTTACATTATTTTCAATGGGAAAAAATGATTCAGTTTTTGAACAAATCACTTCTCAAACAGCATTCCAGAACTAGTTAAGTTCAAGAACCAAGTTTTTACTTTATTTAATTCACAAGTAGGTTGCAAGTAAGGTATGCACCCAATTAGTTTCATTTTTACAGATATGGAAAAAGGCTCTTTTGTGCAGTAAAGTACCAGCACCAGGATTCAGGCTCAGATAAGAACAACTCCAAAACTTTTCCCTTCTTCGACAAGAATTATTTTCTATGCTAATTTTCTGGGGCCTGAATTTTTTAAATGTTTACTTTTTAAGCTATATCAAAACAAACAAAAAAACCGTAAAATGTGCTCATTAGGTAGTCAAGTGTGCTCATTTTTGTGCAGAGCATGGAATAAAGCCTTATCTACCATATTTATACTTAACTTCATTTTTAAATGTATCAATGATAGGAAATGATATTGTGCAGTGAAATGTTTAAAAATCAAGGCCTTCCTTTGTCTAATCACATAAAATCTTATAAGCTGCACAATATAGTAAAATGCAGAGTGACCAATCAAATGCTATAAAGGTACAGGTGCATCTCTTCGGTGCATTATTTCATCAAGACATAATAGTAATTGGTGTAAGAACAGATGTAAAGGTCTCTCTTCAATATAATGTTCTTTTAACATCTAGTTTTATCACTACAAGTTTTGTTTGTCTATTATAAGAATGCAAGCACATTTGAGTGGTTCTACATCAAAAAACAATTTTACTATTCCTCTTTCAAGAAGTCGATCAGTTAAAAAGCACTGACATTGATAAACATGCTTAACAAAACAATGTTGAATCTGTAACTAATTACCTAAGAGGATCAGAATTTGATATTATAAAATGAAAACAAAGAAATAAACTGTACATTATGATAAGTGTAGTAATCATCCATATTGCCAATTTCATACTGTGTTCACTAAAATGGCTTCATTCTTACTAATTGGCTTAAGTCACAAATCTGAATTTATAACACAAAGTTGCACCAATAAAATGCTATTGTTACATACACATAGTTAGCTTGCAAAGCACCAATAAACAAAGTTTGAAAAATACTGTTTTATATAAGAACAAGAACGACATAAGCCTGAGTCACCAAGCACAGTAAACCCGTGATTTTGCAGACCTCAATTTAATGAACTTCGGATTTAACAAAATTTCCAGTCCATGTTATATGTGAAAATTAACACCCTATTAATTTTAAAATGCTTTTAAGCAAGATTTGCTTATAATTAAATTAACAGGTTATTTTTTTGTTATTAATTCATTATTATTTTTATTATTATTATTGTTAGTTAAGGTATTACAAATGTGTCCTCATCCCCCCCCCCCCATTAACCCCCAACCTCCCCCCACACACACACACTCATACTCCCATCCCCCTGTTGTCCATGTCCATTGGTTTGGCTTATATACATGTATACAAGTCCTTCGGTTGATCTCTTCCCCTTACCCCCGCCCTCCCCTACTTTCCTTCTGGGGATTGATAGCCTGATCGCTGTTTCTCAGTCTTTGGGTCTGTCCCTTTTCATCATAATTCATTATTTTTAACAAATTTTAGCAAATAGGCCATATGTTAGAAAAAACACTGTAGCAATTTTGCTGACACAAATATTACATGTTTACAACCAGTCTACATATTTAAATCCAAGAGTAACTGCTCGGAAACAATGTTGGAGAATGATTAGCACATGATCACACCTTATCTTGGTGGGTAATGGTTCTGTTGTCACGTGGCATGACTTTCTGCAGTAGTTTTGCGCTAAGCCATGCCTCAGCTGTGTGCATTTGTTTACTCACGGTGACTGGTGAAGGCACGCATTTACTAGACCTATTCAGTATAAATTTAAAATTACAGTAATACATAATAGAAAACTTTTCTATAAAACTAAACTTTAAATACATACTTAATTTCAATGACACA